AGGCATTCTGGATGGTATGGGATAAAACCAGTTGAGGATGATTATCTCTTCTTCAATGAAAACACTTTGTTCATTCAGTTGGTATTTTCTAAGATTTTCATCACAGAAGCCTCCAAATACGTCCAAATAGGATAAAATTTGAATAAATTTCCAGATGCGTTGAATGCAACAATCCAAGAGTATTTTGTGTTGAAAGTAAAAAAAAATTATTCTGCAGAAATTTATGGAAAATCCATTTCACGGAAGCTTTAAAATGCGTCCAAATAAATTTCAAATTTCAAAAATTTCCCGGGAGAGGCCCCTGAACCCCCTCTAGACTAAGAGGTATTCGATACCCCCCAGTAACTCCCCCCCCCCCCCGGTGGCAGGAGGGCCAGCCCCCTCTTCTAGCAAAATGGCCTAGGCACGCCACGCATATGCCTTTAGAAAGTTACCTATTCCTTTGATCTATCTCTCTAGTTTTATCTTGATCTGGAGCTGGTAGCAGAACCACCGAAGTGTCCTCTGAAATGAGATTTGAAAGTGCATGAACAAGAGATACGGGGAAAAAATTCCTCCGAGTTTGATTATTAAGAGATATTAAAATACCTTTCATGTCCTTGCTGGCAAGACATTAGTCACATTTGCACCTCCCGAACCACACGCAAGCCATTTTTTAAGTGCTCCTTCATACATGAGGCCAGACAATTAGAGATACGAGTAAATCGGACTTTACCACACCTCTGCTCCAACAATGAACATATCAAGACACGCATCTCAATTGATGGATTCCAAAATTGTCACTCCTTTATTTTTGCTTTAAGCGAAATAAAGATCAAGTAGTCCTCGATACCTACCCACAAATAAGCCTCCGTACTTCAAAACTTAACCTTCCGTACTTAAGTCAAAAAAAAAGTTCTCGGTATTTTTTTTTTTTTTTTTCGTCCTTTGGTTGTCCTTTCGGTGTAGCTCGCGAGGCCCCGGGAAGCAAGCGTGGTCAGTTCGTCTACATAGGCACTTGGATTTTTATAAAATCAATGGTTAACTGATAAACGACCTTTGACTAGGTTCACAGCATTCTCCAGCGAGGGTCGAGAGTCTTCATTTTCATGCGCTATGCGGATAACGGCGACCTCCTGGACTTCGTGAAAAAGAATGGCGTGGTGCCCGAATCCAACGCGAAGATGTGGTTCAGACAAATGGCCAGTGGTTTGCAATACCTACACAGCAACAATATCGCCCACAGGGATCTCAAATGTGAAAACATCCTGCTATCCCGACGGTACAATGTCAAGCTGGCTGACTTCGGCTTTGCAAGGTAATTAGATTATTTAGGCACTAACTTTCATTCGGCATTCCACATGAGAAAAATCGTGGGGTCCCTCCCCCCTCTAAACTTGGGGCTCCTCATAAACTCTGCAGCGTTACCTGAGAAAAGTCCTTAGAACGGTGCGGCGTTCTTTTTTTCTTTTCGTTAAAGCCTCCACCGGGCTGATTGTTAAAATTGATAGACAAAGCAATGGACAAAGAAGACACGGGGAGTATGGAGCGATCTTACTGGTTGAAATGGGTGGTTCTCATAGACAAAGGGGGTAAATATATTTACCCCCTTAGTCCTTTATAAAGGACTAATTATATGGTGTTTCGTGGGTTGCCGTTAGTTAATCTTGTGCCTACCTCCTATGTCCATTCATCCGTTGCAACCACCCGCTTCCACCATTAGAATCCCTTCAAATCCCTTTCGTCGTCTTTGTCTATAGCTTTGTCTATCGGTTTCAATAATCGGCCCGCAGGAACCTTCGAAAATGCAAGAGTGCGGAAAAGATGCCCCTCTCAAAAATATAAAACACGTGTTTCGGTGTTTTTCCATTTTCGAAAAATATATTTAAGGAGGACACTCTCTTTTAAAACACCCTGTATACCATTTTAAAGATATGGTTGTCTTTATTTGAGCAGGTATTGCTGCGATGCAGATGGGAGACGAGCGTTGAGTCAGACCTACTGCGGGTCGGCAGCCTACGCTGCGCCGGAGGTGGTGAGTGGAATCCCGTACAACCCTAAACTAGCCGACGTCTGGTCCTTGGGCATCATTCTGTACATCATGCTCAACGCCTCCATGCCCTTCGACGACTCCAACCTAAAGAAACTTCTCAAGGACCAAATGACTCGCAACTGGGTCTTCAGGTAATACCCTCTCGCTACGTGATAAAGACATCGCGCCGCGGTAGTTCCTTCAAATACGCGCGATACATAATATCATACACAACGATTTCCACTCGGTGAAATTCGGAATGCGCAGCAGGCGTAGATGTTCGTTGAATGAATATTCGAGCATTCGAGTGGTGAAAGGAGGGAGTTGTTTGCTGCCGGGTTTGCTGTTGTTGTTGTTTGCTAAGGAAGAACGCCGTGTGAGCCTCCAGATTACCGTCGATAAAAGAAAAATTCACTGCGCAAATTGGGATTAATCTGAAATATCCGAAAACGTCGAGGAAAAATATGCACAACTTCTCTCAAAAATACATGTTTTATCCAGGGAAATTTGGCAACTCTCGAATGCACATACGGCGTTCTTCCTTACCAAGGCAGCTTGCGAAAATGATCGGCCTTGATTGAAAATGGAGAAAATTAGACTTGAGAGCGCTATCACCCAAACAGATAGGGGTACTTGAAGAAAAACATTCACTTGATTTTTGTCGAGGCCTCGACTAAAATTTTATGTGAGGAATTTTGGATTGGCTTCCTTCAATACCTCAAGGTATTCAGTGACGGCCGTCATTGATTCGTATTTTTATAAGCCCGATCCACTCCACAGCAGGTGCTTCAGTTCGATGACCCTGAGGCAATCAGTAATGTAAAATATGGGTACCTAAAAGCTTTGGGTCGTGTCTCACCCGGCTCTGAACTTACTTAGGTTAACGTCCCTTTCTGACCAGACCTTGTTAAACTAAGGAAAATATGTTCGGATGCGCGCTTGAAAAACATTTCCCAAGGTGACAATGAAACGACTTTATAGTTATCCGTCGTTCCTCAGCCAGTAAGTGAAAGGGCCGCAGTCCACATTTGGACTGCATTTTGCAATTTGGAACTATAAATTCTGGCTCATCTGAAAAAACACTTATGTGCATAGGGATACTAATGGCACATGCGTTTTTTTTTTTTAAACCGGGCCAGAATTTATAGTTCCAAATTGCAAAATGCAGTCCATTTCAGGAGGGCAACGCTCTGTAATACATGTAAACAATCAAAGCGATTATCGTAAAATTGGCAATGTTGCTATTAAAATCAGTAAAAGTTACTTCATGCGCACAATATACAAAGTTGGAACTGAGTTGAGGTGTGAGAGAAACAAGCAGGGCGCTCTTTGAGTATTGTCTAGTGCGGCGAACAAAGAACGAATTTAATCAGAACGCCTGGATGCAACTACTATTCGGGCTCCATGGATGTCAGTGTTGCACATGCACTGATTTGAAGGCGTTTTGACTTCCCGAACACTAATTGTAAGCTTCACCTGCGACTCGCTCGGCGCAGTGGTAGGTCTGCGCACTGAGAGGATCCAAATTGATAGAGCTCCTTCAATGGACCACCAGACAATGGACGAATTCAAACATTCTGATCCTGGTTTTTTCTTCTAAGTGAGTAGAGCACAATTTGAGCGACGAAACTGCTCACATTAATTTCCAACCACGATAGGTAGCAAAGTTTATATTTTGCATTGACTACGGAAACTTTGAATTTTCCGCTCCCGAGGAACGGTTTTGGCAGGCTTCTGAATCACGCAGTGTTTCTTTCCCACCCTGCGAAGTTCATACCAGTAATACCTGAGCAACGTGCAATAGCCGAGCCGGAGCGCCGATATTGGGGATGTATTTTCACCAGGGCTGGATTTACCTACTTGCCGCCTGTATTTTGCCGCCCCCTTCTCATTCGTTTCGAAACATCATTAAAAACCATCAAGTGAATGTGCCGGAGGGGGAGGAGCAGTGCATAAGACGCGTTTACTCGTGTTTGACACATTTTTTGCCAAAGCCCTGTCAACACTATGTAGTAGCAAAAGTTCACAGAACTTTGCGCGAAAGTTAAGTTTCGTAAACCTATCCCTGGGTGGACAAGGCCTTCCATTTATCAGAAATTAACGAAAAAATTATGAAAGAACAAACATATGTGGTTTAATCATTTTAACTTCCGCCACCGCGCGCCGCGCTGACCGCACTGTGTTCGGCGCAATGCGTGATGTATTCGTACAGTCTTGTAGGCGCTATGCGTTTCGCCGACCGCTGTTGAACGCACTGTGTTTGACGCAATGCGTAAAGTATTCATGCAGTCTTGTAGGCGCTATGTGTTCTACGCCGACCGCTGCTGAACAGGCTGAACGCCATGTGTTTGACGCAATGCGTGATGTATTTGTGCAGTCTTGCAGGCCCTAATTCACGTTTCATGCCGATCACCGCGCCGAGGGCTTCTCCTTTTCATCTCAAGTCCTCGTCATCATTGCTCTCGGCGCCGCGCCATAAGCCAAAATTGCGTGTTTGTTTTCTGCTTCATGTGGCCACCCCCTAAATCTGGCCCTGATTTTCACACTACCAAGATCGTCTCGGTAACGTTTAGTGTATTTAACTCTGAATTTTTATTTTATTTATTTATTTTTTAATGTATTTATTTATTTTATTATTTTTTTAAATGAGCGGGAAGTTAGAACAAGTGCATCGGAAAACAATAATATCGTGGTTAGCAGAAAATTTTGAAAATTTCAGTAACTTTCTGTGTACAAATCGTGATATACGTAACATTTTGACGAGAGATCGTAAATAAATTGCATTTTGAAAAGAGGACTCAAGAGCATACCACTGTTGCTAGGATTGTGCAACTTAAATTCTTTGCAATAAAATTACTGAAGTCAAGCGGAAAATTTTTACAATGGTAATTTTTGTCTTGAATCTATATTTTATTGGGAGTACAGATAAAACTTGTTTAAACGATCAGTTAATATTTGCCAGGTAAAAAAAGTTGCACCATCTTAGCGACATTAGAATATTCTCAAGTCCTTTTTGCAAAATTCAATCCATATCATGGTCTTAAAGTCGCACCTTATCTGGCGATCCATTTTTCATTTACACTACACAGGAGCATATCTTAAGCAAGAATAAATGAGTGTACCTACCAAGCAGGATGAGTGTACTTTTCCGAAGTGCTAGTTTTGATGACGCGATATGCTGAGCATGATTTGTAGTGACTACATGCATGTCTATATGATGTTTTTGTGGTATAAACAAAGAATTGAAGGCGCTCAGTTATTTTGGATTCTTGCAGTGTTGCTTGTCCGTCGAGGCGTCGGTCGAGGCGTCGACGCAAAACTGAGTGTCCGAAGAGATAAAACGCCTTCACTCCCTTGCGTATGCAACACGGACATCCATGGAGCCCGAATAGTTGCATTCCAGGGGTTATAATGAAACTCGTTTAGTGTTCGAAGCATACATTACTAACGGAGGGCGCTTTCCATGTTTCTCTCACACCTTAACTTATTTCTAGCATTGCCTTATACTACTACCAGAAGTGTCGCGACATTGCCGATTTTCCGAAAAAAGCATTGATTGTTGAAATACAGGGTGGGCCAGAAGTTCCAGGACGGTCGGCTAACTTTTGAACGGTTCGAGATAGAAAAATGAAACTTTGCGAATGTTCCTATCTCAAAGGGGACCATCTTTTGGGGGAGTCAAAATTTTGGTCCCCCCTAAGGGAGGGGGCGGGGGGCCCCCAACTTTTTTTTTTCAAATGGCAACCCCTATCTTGTGATAGCTCATTCGAAAGACCATAAAAAACTAAGAATTTTGGCGCAAACCGCAGATCAATATCTTAATTTTTGACCGAGTTATGATAGGATCAAAGGTCAAATTTGACCTATTTTCAAAAAATCACAATTCCGGTACAAATTATCGTAAAGAAAAAAATAAAACGGGAAAATTTACTAATTGGGTTCGCTTTTTTGTAAAAATTGCAGAAATCACTTCGAACTAATTTTAAGGGGGGATTCGGACCCCCAAATACGTCAATTCAAAGGTCATTCAATTTTCCCGCGAAATAAGCCAATTTCCCCTAGATTTGCCTCCACATTATCTCAGTAAGGTCAAAATCAGTTCAACATTACGTTGGGCAAGTCCCCAAATTTCAGGAAAAGTTAAAAAAACGCAATTTAAGGTAATTAAATTTGACCGTTTAAATTGGTTTTTTTTTTTAACTTTTCCTGAAATTTGGGGACTTGCCCAACGTAATGTTGAACTGATTTTGACCTTACTGAGATAATGTGGAGGCAAATCTAGGGGAAATTGGCTTATTTCGCGGGAAAATTGAATGACCTTTGAATTGACGTATTTGGGGGTCCGAATCCCCCCTTAAAATTAGTTCGAAGTGATTTCTGCAATTTTTACAAAAAAGCGAACCCAATTAGTAAATTTTCCCGTTTTATTTTTTTCTTTACGATAATTTGAACCGGAATTGTGATTTTTTGAAAATAGGTCAAATTTGACCTTTGATCCTATCATAACTCGGTCAAAAATTAAGATATTGATCTGCGGTTTGCGCCAAAATTCTTAGTTTTTTATGGTCTTTCGAATGAGCTATCACAAGATAGGGGTTGCCATTTGAAAAAAAAAAGTTGGGGGCCCCCCGCCCCCTCCCTTAGGGGGGACCAAAATTTTGACTCCCCCAAAAGATGGTCCCCTTTGAGATAAGAACATTCCCAAAGTTTCATTTTTCTATCTCGAACCGTTCAAAAGTTAGCCGACCGTCCTGGAACTTCTGGCCCACCCTGTATAATACGACATTGCTGCGGGTCCTCAAAATCGCAAAACATTAATCGGGTTGCATTGCATAGAATTAGGTTCTTATAGAGTTTCCTTAAACTTACTTAAACGAGGCGTCCTTGGATTGGATTTTTTGGGGGAGTTGGCAAATTCGCCTATATGATATTAGCATCGAGTTTCGATTGATCTACTAAAATCTAAATTAATTCATTTGAGTGTGAATGAATGTCATTTTTCAAACTTCCAAAAATTATTTGGATTTAGAATTCCTGAGAGTGACTGATGCAGGATTCCTGAGGGGCACAAGAAGGAGAGGAATATGAAACGTAAATTGGGTCATGCATGACAACTGCTGTGCTAAAAAAATTGCCAAACATTGTAATGCTGGGTCCACAACCCTGCTCCATTGATATTCAGTTGGAGTTAATGAAGGTGGATGCAGTTTTTCGATACATTTTTCTAAAAATTACGTTTGCAACAGGTCCAGAGTGCGTGAGACAACATCAACAGCGGCCAAGTCGATAGTGCGGCACATTTTGGAGCCTGACATTACTCTACGTTTGACCCTCGACAGAGTCATCAGTCATGAATGGGTGCGAATGCGCAAGGAGAAGTCTGCATCAACAGTATCCCGGCCTCCTCCAGGTCATCAAACTCTTCCAACTAATGCTCATAGCAACGCCATGGAGTTGGAGACACCAACCAGATATGCAACCATGAAGCCTGATCTCCACATCAGCCAGAAGATTGAAGCAGCTTCTTAGACTCGTATAACTTAGAGCAAAATCCTTGAAACTAAGTTGCTGAGTTTCAAGCAAAAAGTCTGAAAGTCTAGGATGTCTGTTGAAAAGATCGAAAATTTCTCCTCTCCTGAGTGACTTTTTTTAGAGATCAAGCTTTCCAAATCAGGATACGAGGCTTGTTTCGGAAAAAAAATTTGAAAAATTGTGATTGTTTGGTTAGTTTTGATGTTTAAAAATAAAACTTAGGCAGAAGTTTTAAAATACCTACGATATTTGATGCGGATTTACAAAGGGTCTTCTGTTGTCAGCTTTTATGATGGGACATAACTACGGTTTGACTGAACACTGGAGTTGGTTCTAATATATAATTAAATCCTTAAAAGCTGACCAAAGCTTTAGTGTATGTGTAGATACGGACATGTATTTCATGCTCACCAACCTTTGAAATGGGTAAGATTTTTCTGCCTAATTCGATTTCACAGTAAAAAAAAAATCAAGGAAAATCATGTAAACTTAAAACAGAGCAGAAACTGAAAGATGTATCAATGTAAAATTCATTGAACCTTTATCAAGGGGCACATCTGCTTTAAAAGTATATTTCTTTTCTTTTTGGCGACTTCTGCGTCGTTCTTGTCCTAGCGTTTAGTTTGAGATAAAAGTAAGGGGGGGGGGGGGGGAATTTATGTGCCATTTTTAAGATTCTGTGATCATTTAAAATTACTTGATAGGAAATAATCAGGTCAGAAAAATGTACTTACAGCTCTGCCATGCTAAGGAGGAACATCTTCGCGGTATGAACATGCCAATGTTGCCAAAATTTCCTCCCGGAAAATAAATTATTCTTTAGGAAAGTCACTAGTATTTTTCCTTCAAATTTTAAGAAATTTTGTATCAAACGGCAAACAAAATTCTCCGAAAAATTGGGCAGAAAGTGAATACTTAGTGTCACAAAAATGCGTGATTTGATGGAGGAAGTTCGGTAACGTCTGAAAGCTCAGACAGCGTTTTCCCTTAGCACGGCAGAGTTGCTCATTCTGCATATTGCCTTTCCGTGTGCTTTCCAACACGACTTAAAATCAACCCTAAGCAATAAACCAAAGAAATGCCAACAGCTTAGACCTCTAGCTTTTGGCTGCGGTCAAAAAGCAAGTAATTATTGATACATGACATAGGTAATCGTAATTCTTTCATTCATTTTTTGTGTGTGGAGCACCAAGATATTCTGGAACAGCAAGCAGACTAATACTCTAAAAATTGATTTTTATCTGTAGGCTCCTAACAAATTTAAATGAAAGGAGGCAACTTTTTTCCAATTAATCATAATTCATCAATAATGTTAATCACTGCCGATGTTGACATTTATGCTGTTAATTCTTGCTTAAAAAGACTGATTAGAGATTAGTAGTTAACTAGTGACGAGTAGATATTGTAATTGTAATAAAGCTCTTATGTAAGAATCATTGATTTTAAATTATACAAGAAGTTCCATAAAATGTTGTTTTCATTTTTTGCGAAAACCTCATCCGGAGTAACTGTTAAAAACCCACCAAGAATTATAATATTAAATATCACATTAATTGTTCCAACATGTTTAATCTCAATTGAGCATTTAAAATCAGAGGACTTGAAACACAAGATTACTTCTCCAGATTTTGCATAAGTTCGTGATAATAGAGGCTTTCAGCACAAAATTTCAGATCTTTCCACAATATTTATTACTTTGATCTTGATTGTGCTTTTCAGTTTTTTTCACTTGTCTTAATTCAAGTTATTATTCTTAATTTTGACAAGTCCTTGATAAATCCAACACTATATTGCTGATTAGCCAACGGCCCTTCAATGAGAGCAGCTTCTCAATTATTTCACAAGATGGTACTCAGAGTATTGAACACTTTAATGTTCACAAAAAAAAATGAGAACAGCACCTCTAAAACTTAACCCTCGACGGCATGAATTAATTTTGTGCCTTGGACTCAGGGAGACAGAACTCGATGCTGTAGCTTTCATAAAAACTGAAAGTCCCAAAGTTTTTTCTCAAAATTTCGTCAAATCATTTCTTGAAAAAAAAAGAACTTTGATAAACATTCGCAACATCAAGCCACTATGAAAAAGTTTAATTCATAAAAAAAACCAAAAAATTACGAATAAGTAACTTGATGCCATAGAGGGTTAACGTCTCTCATGTTAAGCGTTTGCTTCATGGATGTGAACGGCTGTCAATTTTCTCTGGATACAGATAAATTTAGACAAGTCAGCAATGCAGCATCTCTCTAGAAGGATGTGGTCATACTAAATTCCAAACTGGAGCAAAAGCAAAATATGATGCTGAAATTATTTCAAAGTGCACTAGAACTCTCGTACAGTCTCCTGATCTTTGTCTTTATCTCTCTATGAATTATTTTTCAATTACCTTTGAAGTTAATTTCACAAATAAATGAAGAAGAAGTAAATATAAACTTAAAAATATATTTTAAAAAAGTTATACAAATAAGTTTACATTAGACAGGGTCATCTCCCTTGGTTATCCTGGTGTAGATCACTTGCGCATGATGCCTGACTACTTGCTTGATGAGTCCTGAAACATGCAGAAATGGAGTGTAAAGGAAAGATAGACATGACTATGACACAAGGGCTGGAAGTTGGCAAATCGACTTGGGTATTCAGCATAAAAATGGATCTTAATTCAGTCACTGAATGAAAATCAACAAATGCTCTAATGAGTTTCATTATTCCAAGAGATTAAACAAAGGTGTAAACTAAAAAAAAATGTGAGTTACCAGACCATTCTCCTGGATACTTTCAGAATGGGAAATAAGTTATAAAATAGGAGGGGTTTCCCCTCTTCTTTCCAGAAATCCCAGAGGGTACGCTTCTACAAAAAATTCAAACTGGCTAACTTGATTTCCCCCCTACCTTTGCCTTTCCTAACATGGCCTGCAATACCGCATTATCTGCACCCCTATAGTGCTAAACGAATAAGATCGCTAAAAAAATTATACAAGTTTCATGTCCAGGAAACTTTGGTTTCCTCACAGACCAGGAAGATAAGACAGATGAAAAAAATCCAATTTCTGTAAACAATGATAGCGTGATGCCTAACATCCACGCACACTAAGCCACCCAAAAGAAACTAATATATCGCTCAGCTTGCCACATTCATCAACGCTTCCTCTACAGACAGCGGTTATGAAACTGAGGGACTAACAAACAAGAGGTATGGGCTAGGGTGGAGCGTTTTTGGGCTTTTTTTTTATTTTGAAAATGGACATAGTACAGTAGTTGTGAAATGGTCTAAAAGTAACGCCTGAATTTTCCTGAATTTTTTCGTCAACGTTTAGGCCTCCCGGATTGACGTTGACGTCAAAATTAGCGAAAAGTCCGGGTTTTTTGACAATAACTTGGCAACAATGGCAAATACGACAAAAATGCATAGAATCAGAGTTGTTGGAAATTAAATTTCCAACAAATCACTTTCTTATCCTTTTTTCTGTAAGTGCAACCGTTTTAGTGTAAAATTCGAAAACCCGTATTTTTCCGGATTTTTGGCACAAATTCTCGTTCAGTCCGGGAGAAATACGGTAGAAATACGGGAGAAAGAGGGCTAACTCGGAACAAATTGCGTGATAGACTTTTCCTACAAGAATACCATCATCGGGTTGGCCTGAATAACACAAAACATACAAAATGTTTTCCACGGCTCCACCGCGGATCACCCCTTAAAATTCCTAAAATTCAAAAAGGCGGCCGTGTTTAGATTATCAAGCATCAAGGTAATTTAAAATGTGCATCTCGTGTGGTATGAGGTGTCGTTTCCTATGTCTTTTTAGTCGTAAATTTCAAATATAGTGTTAAAAAAAGCCCCTGGTCAAACGGGGTGCATCAAATCCAGGATGGCGGCCAACTTTGAACGGCGGGAGGGTAGCTTATAAAGTTTGATTAGTGTATTACATTTTAAATTGAAAGTAAGGTAACGATCTCTGGATGATATTGGTTTAGCATTTTGATTAGAGGTTCAAAATTAAATTGTCTTTTATAAGACGTCATCTATGATCCGATGAATGACACCTGGTCAGGAGGCGTAAAACTGGCAATCCAGGCCGAACCCGAAGGTTACTAGGGTTTAAGATGCCGTAAATTTACAACAGAAAATGCCCCATAATCGTGCGGGGTCTCCCGATTATAGGATAAGTGGATGACTTCTAAATGTGAAGGACAGAACAGATAATTTCAAAGTGTGATAGTAAAAAATCTTGGAAATAAATCTAAAAGTTTTCTTAAATGTTCACAATTAATATTACTCCTCAATAAGAGCTAAAATCGAGGATGGTGACTATCTCCATATGAAGAATCAATAAAACGACACTACAAAATAAATGTACAATTCAAAGAGAGACTGCTGATTAAGCGATATTTACATGCAATTGAGTTACCTATTACTAAAAGAAAAATAATGAAAAAATAAAAACATTGATGATTCATACCACCGGATGATGTTCCTTAGTATATTTTTTGAAGGAAGGTGTCGTCAACTCTTGATTTTAGAGAAAATTGCTTTTTTTTTTTTTTTATTTCGCCATGATTCTCACGTGACCTAATTTACTTTATTCACATTTCGAATAAAAAGAGTCTTGGTTCTCGGGGGGAATAAAAGGATTTTAAACGCGAATATTACTTACACGGAAATCGGTACCTTATTTTCGAAGATGTAAGACATATTTTAAAATAAGACGTAATGCTAAAAGGAACTATGTTGCACGCAAACACCGTTCAGATATAGCCTTCCAGCATTATACCTACACCTCTGGTTAACACTACTGCCTTTTACAGGCAGTCATCGTGGATTTGAGACACCTTGTTTGACCATTCATTTTCCACTTAATTTTTTACTTCACACTTTACCAAAATTACACAGGGAGAAATACCTCACTTCACTCATCGCGTCATTATTTAACTTGCTTAAGTCCTCCCACCCTTCAAACTTATCAGTCTTTTTTGAGTTTTGTGCAGCCCGATTAACCAGGTGGTATTCATCACTTCATACTGGAAATCTACGACCAAAATTACGATGAAACAACCAAAGCATGTATCGGTTTGCGATGTTGCAAAATTCTTGGAATTTTCAAATATTGCAAACGAGATACCTGGTTTGGGAATTTCGCCGTCGATATTCTTTAAGGAACTAATACCTCACTTGACTTATTACGCGAAGAAGTGGTACTAGGACAAACTATCAGGGGGGAATGTGAGGGCATATGGGACAAACATACTCTCCTGCCGTTCAAAGTTGGCCGCCATCCTGGATTTGATGCACCCCGTTTGACCAGGGGCTTTTTTTAACACTATATTTGAAATTTACGACTAAAAAGACATAGGAAACGACACCTCATACCACACGAGATGCACATTTTAAATTACCTTGATGCTTGATAATCTAAACACGGCTGCCTTTTTGAATTTTAGGAATTTTAAGGGGTGATCCGCGGTGGAGCCGTGGAAAACATTTTGTATGTTTTGTGTTATTCAGGCCAACCCGATGATGGTATTCTTGTAGGAAAAGTCTATCACGCAATTTGTTCCGAGTTAGCCCTCTTTCTCCCGTATTTCTCCCGGACTGAACGAGAATTTGTGCCAAAAATCCGGAAAAATACGGGTTTTCGAATTTTACACTAAAACGGTTGCACTTACAGAAAAAAGGATAAGAAAGTGATTTGTTGGAAATTTAATTTCCAACAACTCTGATTCTATGCATTTTTGTCGTATTTGCCATTGTTGCCAAGTTATTGTCAAAAAACCCGGACTTTTCGCTAATTTTGACGTCAACGTCAATCCGGGAGGCCTAAACGTTGACGAAAAAATTCAGGAAAATTCAGGCGTTACTTTTAGACCATTTCACAACTACTGTACTATGTCCATTTTCAAAATAAAAAAAAAGCCCAAAAACGCTCCACCCTAGTATGGGCGCAAATGAGTGCCAGGGAAACCTTCCAAAAATTGAATAAATTAGGCACTGAATCATTTTAGTGCTGATTATTTCAAGGTTGGTAAACTGCCAGGAAGCTCTGGCTTGCTAGGCCACTTTGATAGCTGCACCGCAAAGTATAAACCAGTTAATTTCTAGCTGTCTTCTTCCTCTTTCTCAATTCTCATTTAAATTCTCTCTTCTCTCATTTTCATTATTGTCTGGCTTAAGCAGTAAGTAAATATAATCAAATAGTTCCCACATTTGAATAACTGAACTGAGTAATAAATCTTTAATAAAGTATATTGCTTTCCGTTTTTGATTATATGAATTTTGTCCCACCAATGCTACCTTCTCTAAAAGCCCTTAGGAAAGAAAGATGGATCTACCCATGAATAAGCGAATACTTGTATAATCATTTCTGCACAACACAAACAGAAATATACTGACCTTGTTTGCGAAGTTCTTCTAGAGCCTTACGAGCTAGAGATCCGTGAACCTTCAACCTTTCACTGACGACTGATGGAGTGATTAATTTATAAGATGGAACTTCTTTTAAAAGCTTGTCATAGGAGGCCTTGTCGAAAAGAACTTGGTTGTTCAACTTGTCACGAACTTTTCCTTTTGACCACTTCTGCAAGGATGAAAAAAAAAGGAGAGGCATTAGAATTGAGAAATTTTGAAAACAAGATACATGCACGAAAGCAGAAAAGTTCCTTAGATTTTCAGCTGGATTTCACATTGCGGTCATGGTGGAATTTTTGAAAGAGCAATATGTAGCAGTAGTCCTGGCATCAAAGAGATTGTTCTGAATTTAAGAATCTTTTCTGTTCTAATGTAATTTTTTCACATGCCTTCAATTGAAATCAGAAAAACAATTAACTACTCTTTAAAGGGGATGGGAACCCTAAAATAAAAAATGAGATAGTATTTAAAAATGAAGCGGGAAGGTATAAGAAGCAAAATGGCTCTGTCCCAAATGAAAAATTCATAAAAACAGCAAAGATGTGAAAGATTGTAAGTCTGACTGGTGACGTCATGCGCTCCTAGTGCGACTGCGGTTCACACGCACACAACTCGATGTCTGGCACGTTCGCTGTCTGGCGCCGCAGTCGCCTTAATAGTCACACCTAGACAAAGAAAAAATAGTCGGCCAGGAACGAGCGAGATCGGGGCAAACTTGTAACTTGTCCCAGACACGCGTCAGCCACTAGACACCGGAGACAGTATGCTGAGTGCAGACTGCAAAACGCAAGACAGAGCTCATAACGTAACGCGCTCAGCTGTTTTTTTGCGATAGCGGCTCAACAAATGCAGATATACTCGAACATATTTCGGCATCTTTCATTGCACACTTTTCTTCGTCGATTCAGCTAAACTTGTTTTTCAGGTTGCCGTCCTCTTTAGGAATATTTTCTGTTCTAATTATTTTTTTTCACATGACTCAAATGGAAGTCAGAAAAACAATTAAGTTCTCTTTCATTGAAAAACATGGCGTATGTCATCTACAGCGGTGGTGCACGAATTCTTCCAACTTGGTTTCATCAATCAGTGATACCTTTACACTGGTTTCTCTATGTAATATACGGATGAAACCAAGGTAGAAGAAACTGCGGTATGCACTGCCTTCGTGGATCATGTCATGCACCATATTTTCCAATAGGAGGTAACTCATTTGATACTGGATGAAACTTGACTGGGACAGATCATAGTAATTTTTACTAATTTACAGGCTTAAGTCATCTTAACACAATGGACCACTAGACAAGGTACAAATTTAAGCATTCTGATACGTGTTTCTTAACCAGAATTTCACGTAAATACGATTCGCGCAATGAAAATTACTGAAATCAACTCCTAACGAAGATATTCATGTTTTTATTTCACATTGGTTACGAGGATTTTGAGCTGCCCGCTCACAGGAAACTCAAAGCTCTACTTGAGTCAAATCGCGCACTACAAAGATTCTAGCAAGCTTCTCAATCGAGGAATGTTCATTTCCCACCATGTGTTGTTCAAACAATAAGTAATTTGCTATAGCTGAGCCAAAGCGTCGATATTGGGGTTGCTAGATTTTTAGATCGCAGAGACTGTCATGATCTTGTTTAGCTCGAGATGTGAATCGCATAGAGCATTGAGTTTTCATAAGCGGGTGGTTTAAATTCACGCATTGAGAATCATTAAATATCTTCGTAAGGAGTTAATATCGGTAATTTTCGTTGTGCACATCGTGTTCTCCGTGAAAATTCGGTTAAGAAACATGAATCAGAATGCTGGAATTCGTACCTTGTCTAGTGGTCTATTTTGTGACTAGCAAATCTGACCTAATATGTAAGAGGTGAGTTGCGAGAGCTGAGCATAGTGTTGAATCAATTTTAAAGAAAAATGTTTGTGTAAGCTGTGATTTGTTGAGGATGATTTCTTCTTTTTTTTTGCAGCAGCAGCCGAGCTTTAAAACAGTTCTTCGAAGGAAAGGACTCTAAGTTACTACCTTAATTAAGCGTCATCAGCTAGTTTGGCACTTGTTTACATTCCGTTTGCAAGCAGCCACAACGCAGTTATCCAATAGGAATTGAGGATTGATTACGCTCAAAATTGGGTCACTATCAATCCTTAATCGCTACTGGAAGATTGCATTGTGATTACTTGCAAGCAGAATGTAAACAAGTGCCAACTTAGCTGACAACGTCTCTATCGAGAGACTTGTGCACTATCCAGGGACTAAGCTTGCTGCATGTGCTAAATCTTGTTGATCCTGAAAGTCAAAATTACCTTCTTCTTGGCTTTTCCTCCAGATCCTCCCTCCTTCTTCTTGGGTGTTTTGGAGGGCTGTTTGGAGCCTCCTTTGGCATCTTTCTTGGGAGGCTGCAAAACAAAACAAAAATATTAATGAAACACTACTTTGATCAATTTGAACTTTAACAAGTCTGTCTGATCTGTAATAGCAGTTAACTGGGCAAAATAAAAAAGGGCAAAGTTTATAGAGTTAGACCTGGTTCCGATGGCTCACCACAAAACAACTGGGTGACAATAATTCATAACATGTGTGACAGTTCTGATGTCAGGAGTGTTAAAATACTTGAGACGCATTGTTAAAGTCAGAATTGAAACTGCTGAGTCGCTGAGCTCAGCCATAGTGTCGATAAACGTTCTTCGGAGCTCCCCGCTGAGCTGCCATTTTGTAAACAAAGGCCACCATCTTCTTGGCGAAATTGGTCAGAGCTCAGCGGCAGATTCGAGGCTGACCAATGTCGCTGGGAGGATTACGGCTATGGTTCACTAACAATTTTAGGTCATTGATGGGAGACTGACGTCATCTCGCTGACTTCAATTATCAACTTTAAGAACACGTTTCAGGACTGAAGACATTTGATAAGTTTTGTCATCAAACATGATGCAAATCTATAATGAATGGACCTATTTAAACGGTGTGAGTTGCCAATCACATAACTCGGTTTGCGACATCGCAGACTTCCTGCCAAACTTTATAATTTTCACTGAAAACTACTCAACGGCAATTCTTCATAACTGCCTTGATTTTCCTTCTCTATGCAAGGAAAATTCTGCAAAAACCTCAACGAATGATGTCAATTTGTTCTCCTTAAAAAAAACATTGCGGTGGAGATTTTCAGACACCCCAAACAAGTTATGTGATTGCCGACTTACACCGTCGATTTTTTCCTCCTTACATTCTGAGAGCACGACAGAAATTGGATAGGGTGCTCGTAGGCTAGACAGATTGGCCAGCTACGAAGCTTCCACGCCTCTTTCTCCTGAACCTGGCGGCCACTAAATGAGTGAGCTAGAAATTAAAATGACAGAAAAATTCATTCTATCACCTTAATGCTTGCAATAGGTGCCTGACAAATAAGGTGCTTGGTTCGAGAGGACAGAAAGTGATGGAATGAAAACCCAGCCAGGCGAAGATATGCAGCTTAACCGCACTCTCATTCCTGATGTGATTCTCGGATGGAGGTGACAGAGAAAACTGACAGACGACTGAAGGGAGAAATAAAGGTAGTAAACTAGAAAAAAAACATGATGCGGCACTTCTCCCAGACAGTGAGACATAACACCTATGCGGTAAATGGGCAAATGGAGGCTCCGAAAACACATTCCCTCTGGACGCTGCCATGATGTCCGACATCGGATGAGACAAGGTAATGGTTGAGTTGGTGCAGATTACATTGAAAACTTGAGAAAGGCAGTTTCTTCATCAAATGAAGCGATGCTGCAATTATAATTATGCCAAATAATTGACTAGCCGGAAACTCAAAACTCAACGTGGTACCATGTGAACGTGCTTACGAAGTCAGGCAACAGATAACAAGAAATCCACAGTTTTGGAAGAACCGAAATCACTCGCGAATTAAAGATGGCAAGTGTTAGTTCGAAAACTAAAAATTTGCAAAATCGGCTGACAAAATTACTTAAAATCACTAAAAATGAGCTGACTTACCATGATTCAGATGTAAATTTACCACACGACTTCAAAATAGGCCATAAGCGATGGTCGGTGCGTGCCGACCCTCTCGGTTCAAACGGTCTAGTTTATGGTTCATTCTCGTCCATCTCTTCGCGCGGATTACAAAAAGCCCGCGAGATTTTTAAATTGACGGACTTGTTCCCGATGAGCCGCAAAACTGATTTCTCGCTGGTATGTACCTTTCTTCGTGCCGCACAATTTAATTTTAGCTGTATCTTTCCAAACAATAACTTGGACCAACATTTGAGGCAATCTCGTGGATTTCTTGTGACGGGGTCGAGGAAAATGGTCCTATAGGTAAAAACAAATAAGAATGAGATACAAACTATGACATAGTTAGAGGAGTTAATTCCACATTATTCGGCGCAAAAAACACCCAAAAATCGGTCCTTCTTGAACATTTCAAAGTCAAAGAACAATCAATCGGGAATTTTAAAATAATTCGGTTGAAGTTTGCCGGTGCTATTGCCATTTTTAGAAATAATTAATTTCAAAATTTTGTAACATCCCATGTGCTTGTTAGAGCAATGACTTGAAATTAATTTTGACCTGATGCTCTTGAAAAGTATACATGCAGAGCTTTTATTCGTATTATGGACTAAGGTAAGTATTGATGGGAACATGTAAAATAATTTTCGGTCGAAAAAAATAAAATTTGACATGAAGTATAAATGCAGCGCCGTGTCTATGCAAGTATTAAACCTCGCTTTTTATCATTCAAGAACTTATTTCATTGGAAAATAGTGAGGCTAGTGAAGCTTATAGTGCACGTTATTTGACCCGTCAGTCTTAATGACAGTATCCGTTAGTGTACCGATATGCATATTTTGTATTCAGGGCCGGATTTACCTACTTGCCGCCCATGGGCCGCCTGTATTTTGCCGCCCCCTTCTCATTTGTTATGAAAAATCAATAAAAACCATCAAGTGATCGTGCCGGAGGGGGAGGGGTGCATAAGACGCGTTTACCTACTCGTGTTGGATACATTTTTTGTGAAAGCCCAGTCAACACTACTAGCAAAATTTCACGGAACTTGACGCGAAAGTTAAGTTCCGTAAACCTATCTCTGTGTGGACAAGGTTCTCCATTTATGAGAAATGAACCAAAAAATTATGAAAGAACAAACATAAATGTGGTTCAATAATTTTAATTTCCGCCGCTGACGCTGCGCCGCGCTGATCGCGCTGTGTTTGGCGCAATGCGTGAAGTATTCCTGCAGTCTTGTAGGCGCTATGCGTTTCACGTCAACCGCTCCTGACCGCACTGTGTCTGGCGCAATGGGTGAAGTATTCATGCAGTCTTGTAGGCGCTAATATGTGTTACATGCCGACCGCCGCGCCGAAGGCTTGTCCTTTTCATCTCAAGTCGTCGTCATCATTCCTCTCTGCGCTAAGCTCCAGGCCAAAGTGCGTGTTTAGTTCCTCTCTTAACTCGACTAATTAAAGATCCTGTCTCTTGTATCACCGAAAAACGACAAAATTAGAAATTACTATACTTTCAGGAAAGAGAGAGTTTGTCCCCTTTTCTCACGGATAATTTTTTTTTCTGAATCCGATTTTTTTTATACCTACATTTAAAAAAAATTGCAAAATTTGTCGCCATGCGCCGCGGCCCATGTGACCACCCCCTTAGTCCGGCCCTGTTTGTATTATGCAATGATTCATAATACTACGCCCCCGAACTGCATCACGGTCCAGCCTCCCCGCAGCGCACACGTTACTATTATGATTTGATTACATAGAGTATGATATATTTCTTTATCTCATGACGGAAAAACGATAGCGTTCAATACTCAGTGCAGCGTAACAGATGCAAATTAGTGTGAACAAACGATTTGGTTCAAAGTGCGTGAACACGGTACACGGTGCATTAGTAGAATTTAACAATGGTGCAAGGAATCGGAAAATAATGGAGATGAAGGGGTTACTGGACCCTTTCCCTCCTTTGGCATATTTTAGGACTATGAAGACACCTCGTGATGGGTGCGTTTCAGTCTGCATCTATAAGTACAGCGGCACGATGCGACCTGCAACACCGACCCGAAAAGAGGAGCACAGCCGGATAAATTATTATGGTTTGAGCTAACTCCGCGCTTCCGCAAATGCTCACAGGATTACTCATCCTGCAGCGGATACAGGGTTGCGATATGTTAGAAAAAAAAGAGACTAAAAATACACTTCCTGCGCGGTTGGCTGAGAACTCCTCCTCCAGACAGTTGAGACGGTCCTCATTTCGTCGTCTCCCGCACGATGCACGAAGGAACGTAACTCCATTCCAAGGTTGCCAAATTGACTCAAACAATTAATTTATTTTACAAAAATGTACGTAAGCAATTTGTGTCCAAAATATCTCTGTTTTTTGCTTGGAATCTAGAGAAAAATCCGGGAAATTTTCGATCAGAAATGCCCAAAATTCTCGTGGTTAGTAGGCAATTTGTGAGGGGAAATTCGGCAACATTGGAATGCAGTTACGTTCTTTCGTCCGGGAGACAACGATTTGTGGCTATTAACTTCTCGATGGCAACTTAAGTAGGTAATCTCGCTAAATATCCATTACTTTCATGCAGAGAGCGGTGAGTTTCATAGAGGAAACCGTAGAAAAGATTTCCCTTGAACATTGGCTTCAACCCATTGTTTGAAATTGCACTGCTATACGTTGAATTAGAAGTAGAGGTTCAAAGCCCTTATCGTTGAGTTAAGTTGATATTTTTTTAAAGAAATTATATTCCCAGGGGTAGTTGATCAGTAAACTTTTCTCTAAAAGACAATGGAAAAAAAGGTATGTCTCCTAACTCCGAGGTAGCCTATTTTTTTACTTTTACTCAGGAACAAACAGTTGACTCGGCTCTCTTTGTGATCCGATTCTGTTCCGAGGGAACTGTACAAGTGGAAAAAAAACATAAAAAAAAAGTTGTGTAAGTTTTTGGGGGAGCTTTAATTTGCCTGGTTAAAAATATGAAAAATAATACCATTCATCATCAATATTGTCAATAAAATTCTGTAAGGGTGTTTTTTTTTGTTTAACTTTCTCCGAAAATTGACTGATTTTTGCTACCAGACCTAATGGCTTCCGTTACAGGCACTACCATTTTTATACAGGAAAATGAAAATACTGCTCCACAAATGGACCACGTTTTGCAGCTGGGAACTAAAATTCCTTGCTCGTTCGTAAAAAAACACTTACGTGCGCAGCGGAACTAATGGTACATACGTTGTTTCTAAACTTAGCCAGAAATTGTAGTTCCGAATTGCAAAATGTGGTCCAACACTCTGTGGTCTGTGGTCCATCGTTAACGTTCATTTTACATTTCATTCTATGACTCATAAGTTTATTGGTTTTTCAATTCTTTTTTGTCGGATTAAATTAGTGGTGTCGCCTATCTTTTACTTGTGTTCGTAAAAAGTTCACTCAAATTTGCGAGAATTATTGTGCACTTCTCGCAATAAATTCCCCGGTCCAATTTAGAAATGCACACATCTAACGTGATAATTGATTTTGGTCACGGAACCAAGAAATTCAATAAACAAATACCTGCGGGACATTAGTATAGTGGACGCTTCATCACGTCCACTTAGGTCCAGCGTCACCGTGGGTTGACGTCGACACTATTCAAGAAAACAATACCGCACTGATAGCCACACTCACGCCACAGCTAGAGTCCCTTTATACCCAGAGTTAAGACAACTCGATTATCAGCTGACTGGCAGCCGGCCTTGGCTGGCCATGGAGGCCGAAACGAGTGCACCCAAACGAACGATATTGAGGGATAAGGATCAGGAATCCTGCGATGTCTGTCACACAAAAACAACAACATCAACAAATTGATCAATTAAAAAGAAAATGAGATTGGTTTGTGAATAATTTCTTAATCTATTTTCATTTTGGATCGAAGGAAATAACAATTTACTCTTGATAAACCACAATTAGGTAATATTTTCCTAATATTTTCATTATTCTTGTTCACATTCGAGGTACCGCCATCTTGGTGCACTCGTTTCGGCCTCCATGAGCGAGAACCAATCAGAATTGGATTTTTTTTTAGGCCACTTTCAGCCGAGCCAAAAGTGAGTTGTCTTAACTCTGGGTATAAAGGGACTCTAGCCACAGCCAATGATCTTGAGTATTATTCGGCTTTACCTAAGATCCACTTAACACTCACGATAAACTGTCTCATCTCTGGCGTAAACACGTATCTCAATTTGCAAGTGAGCCCTGTTTTACATATAAATCAATACTTTCTGGAGCTCATGCAAAAATCGAGATACGCCCTTGCGTCAGGAGAGCGACGAAATGACATCCGTCAGAGTGAATACGAAAAATCGCAGACCGATGCTAATGATGTTACCAATGTTGGCGGACATCAAATATCGATTGTGAAACTGCAAAAATGCGTGTCTCGGCTTGCGGTGTCGCAGACTTCCTGTCATACTTCGTTTTTTATTTAAAATTGTTATTCATTTCAATCTTACTGCAATAAATCTCATCTAGAGGTGCCCCTTCAAATAGTATCTAGACAACACACACAACACCGCGATGCAGTAGGCAGCACTGCAGCAGGCAGCAGCAATTATTTTACAATGTGTACATGATTTCGTCACCTTCCGGCTAAAGTATCGCGAGTGCCATGCGACGTTTAAAAATTTCCGCCGTCATTTTATTTTTTTTTACAGGAAAATTGTTCAACGAAGCTGTCCGAAAATGTCACCGAATTTTCTTTGTACTGCCGACGAAATTCAGTGAAATTCTCAAACAAATGGACGTATTTCTACCAAACAGACCTATGTGGAGGTGAGGAATATGGGGTGTGCTCGTTAGTTCTCTGGCCGTAAGAGTGAATGGGAACAATAAAGCGCCAGTGACGTCAGCGGCAATGATAGTGCGCACTCGAGCGAGGGTGAGCTCGTAAGGGCGCTTTAACTCGTGAGCCCTGTCCACAACGCTATCTTGCCATGCCCGCGGCTCATGAATCTCGCATTCGGTTGGCACATAGGTCTGTTTGATAGAATGTGAAATCCCGCTTTTCCAATTCTTCAAAAGGAATCACGCCCACTTTTACATTGCTTCTTATGCAGCTTTAACGAGCACACCCCATATTTCTCACCTGCACATAGG